AAGTTTTTCGCAGGCCAAGTTGTAAGCAGGCTGCATTGGCTCCATATTGAAAACCATTTCCTGTCGGCCAGAAAGAATTAGAAACAAGAAACTCTGAGGACGAACCATCCAATGACCTTTTGATCAACATATATGGGGAATAAAATGGAGATGGACTGGAAACACATTGTGGAGACCACCGGGTGACATTATACTCCAGGCCATCACCAAACAAAAACTGGAATATTGAACAGTGAGTCGAGTGTTTGTCAGAGACGTGTTTTAGAAGAGATCATATGAGGAGAAGAAGAAAGTTAATGGCAGTCGTGGGGTTATCCAAAGAGAAATTCAGATAACAGATGAAAGTGGAGACGTGTTCCACTCGGAAACACAGGGAATAATAAAATGAGGTTTGAAGGGTCCCGTAATAATGTAAAACATCTGTAGTTCAGGTAGTTGCTTTTGATTTGATCTTGTAACAAGGTTATTTATTTATAGGATTTCATCATGAGCTGACATTGGTTAGAGAACCATTGGAAAACCTGGGAGCACTGGACAGCAGTTTCATTAGCCTAGTTTGTGACACTTCACAGGGATTCGAATCCAGGACTATCTGGTTATTTGTTTAGCTACACTACATCTTCAGCATTCACTTCAATGTAAAGTCAGCTTTCGGAATTCTTCATGAGTCATACAACTGTCTTTTCTGGCGAACTGTGTTGTGTATAGTCGTCTTCAGAGGTTTTATTACCCTTAATACACTTGATATAGTTAATTTAAACACGAGTTAATTAACAGTTCGTGATAATTTTCAGCTGTGTCCATTTATTTATCACCAAGTAAATTTATACCCATAGGTCAACTTGTTATTAAGCTAATAATAATGGTAATAATTATCACTTTATTCGAAACAGTAGTAATTAATTGTACACAATGAAATTTACGCTGTTGTAAATACTACAATAACTTATCTTCTTGTACAAATATAAGAATACATAAAATAGTAAAAATCGTAAAACCACAAAACCTAAGGGCCAATAGATGAACAGTATTTTTGTTGATGATAATACGGGTTATAATTTTTGTCTTATTTACACGTCAAATATAATTTGTATAAGCTTCATTTCTGAAATGTCTCTCTTCACACAAAACCCAAATTAAATGTAATTACAATCTCAGACATCGTTGAACTACCTACACAAGGAGCACAGGTGTCAACCTGAGACCAAGCACTTCGGTTCAGTCAACCAATGGGAAAATCCAAAATTGAATTAAATAACTAATAAGACTCTCGTGGCCCAAGTGATCTAATGGATAACGCCTTGGGGTTTTTAACTATGGACACTAACTTTGAGCCTCAGTGAGAACATCATCACTCACTGCGGTAAGCAGGTGCATCCAGTTAGCTAATGAGTCCCAATCAGTGAACGAAATGCGCATCCTGGTGGATTCCACTGCTAGTCACCATCCATCAATTAATTAACAATGTGGTTGAGTTTATCTGTTTTTCTATTGGAGGATAAATTGTTATGACACAACGTGAAGTCTGTGAATAGAGAGAGGATGTTCAGCATCTGACAAGATGACTTTATCTAGTTGTTTATCAACAGCAATGTTAGTTAATGGGTTCAAAGCTGCACCATTATCTTTACTAACAGCCACTAAAACCCTCGGTAATAAAACACGGTCATTCTTGAGAAATCCAAGGAAGGGTAAAGGAAAAATGGGCAGAATACATGAGTTAGTAAATTGTACGGGAAAGGGTTGAACTGTGCAAGAATGTCTCAGCCTCTTTATGTATTACGTTAGAAGAAAGATTTTCTTAGAAATCAATTAGATATGAGACGACCGACAAAAAGATATGAAGAGAAATTGGTACGAAGATAGGTAATTTTCGATTTATTTTACATCAGTGTGTTATGTGACCGAGCTAGTCCAAAGAAGTCTTGTCGATGTTTGGTATTAACAATAACTGTCTAGCCTTTAGAAGGTCTGAGTCTAAGACCATCTAAATAAGACCATTAGTTAACCTTAGATAAGAACTATTCATATCGGAACAATCTAATTTGGTAACGTATTGCACAGAAGAATTATGTCGCAGCTTTCTGATGCCCTTGTTCAAATGCCTTAATGGCTAAGCATATCTGAGCACTGAACAGTTTTGATTACAGGCTTCTTGCTAACAGCCTTTCTCTATACATACGACTGCAATTCAAAGGTGATGTACCGAGTGAAATAATAACCAGTTAGTTGAGGAAATCGATCCAAAAAGGTTTAATCCCAGTAAGCTGTAGTTGATATTTTCCTCACAATTGGTTGTGATTCTGAAAACTGAATGATGAAGTACCTAGACTAGATGGCCACCTCTGATTGTACCTACGAATTCAACTGCTCCCATGGAGCCAGTTAGATTAGTCATTATTTGCTTTAGGAACCTAATTTTGCGTGCTCTCTCAGGAACACCTACCAGTGTGGTTAAACAGAGATGTCATTAGAACCATCAACAGATCTAGAAAACCCCGTTCAAACAGACCAAAAACTAATCACATTGAAGAGTCCATTCTTATCATCTCCCGGTTAGGAAACAATCTATTAAAGGCCTCCAGACAGCAGAGACCATTAGAATTCGTCTAAAACAACCGGAGACCTGTGTGCAAAAGAAGTAGGTCCAGCTACTGTAGCTTCCTAGACCTGTTGTCAAGACTATAAATTCATAAATTCTGCGTTACTTCCCTCAATTTATGCATGTTATCTCTCTTTTACTGATGTTTTTGAAGTGTTATTGCCTGTCCATACTATCTATTCAGTGCAACTGAAAACAGCATTAATGTTGTTAAAAACACTATTTCGACAATTATTACTGCTAAATAAATGCAGTAAAAGGTGATGACGAATATCTTTTGTCGATTAATCAGTCTTCTAAAAATTAACTTCACAAATCTAACTGATTATTTAGACTGTGATTTTTCACATCGCAAATGATCATTAAATGATTTTTAATTCATCGTTTAAACTATTATATCCCTAGTGCTACTGACAAGGTTTATCAGTAGTATGTAAATAAAGAGATGTTCATTAGCAATAAAAACACCAAGTAGCGACGAGGAACAATTGATTTCTGAGAAGGCAAGTGATACGACGTTGTGGAGATACATAGAAGACGTGAAAAGAATACGAAAAAAAACACACACAACACGAAGTCCAGAAGTACCACAAAACAAAGATACGTGCCAATGGTACGTTGAAGATAAGGTATAAATAATTCTGCTAGATAGATAGATTTTTAAATTTTCTCATTTTTAATATGAGAATAAGACATATTAGCGAAGAATATTGTTGTTTTCAATTAGATCTTCTCCAGGCTTTACTCTAATTTACATAAATTTATATATAAAACATTTTAACCAATGACGGTGATTTTGTGCATCAGATAATAGTAATAATATGGTAAATGTTTTGAACGTCACTAATGACGATGATTAACATGATAACAAAAGATTGGTAATAATGTTTATGCAGGTGGCGATAAGAATAACAAAGGTAGTATATGTACATATGTGTATATGTAGACAATTCAATAAATAAATTCGGTCGAATCTTAAAAGTTACATAATTCCAAAGTTTAGGTGGACAGATAATCAAAGTCTAAATAAATATCATAAATGTATGAAGGCAATGGAAGATAAGAAAGGGTGGGAGAATTTTGAATAGAATTCACCTAGGCAAGCAAGGGAGAGACAAAGGTAGAACAAACGTCTTTTGTCATCTGCAAAGACTAGGACTGTTCCCTCGAATTGATTCCCATAGCTTCAACTATGCGTAAAAGACGGTTTCTGATTCCGTTCGAAAGGTTCGACGGAATGCGATAGATAACTTTGAAGGCACTAGTTTTCTCCACTTGGTTACCATTATCAATCAAATGAGCCAAAAAACAGAGCTTCTTATAGATTTTATTTGACCTTTTTCGAACCATGATTGAAGGAAGATGCTAATTTAATGCATTTGTTAAGCTGTTGAGTTGTTCGTCCTATTTGGCTCTCTCCAGAAGATCAGCTAAATTTATAGATACACATAGAAGTGGCACAACTAGCCAGGGGGCTTGTCTTTCGCTTGAGTAATCATAATTGGTCGGCTGGAAAATGACAAACTGAGGTTGGCGGCTTCGCTAGCCACGTCACCGCTAAACTGTTTCTTTTTACCAATCTCCGAGTCTTTCCTAGTCAAATGCAAATAATCTATCAGTGGTTTATCAGTGGAATATAATTTGAATTAGGCATAAGCAAGTTTGTTGTTCCGCCTGTCACGTGGAAGGCCCGGGTTCGATTCCCGGTCGAGGGGCCGGTGCGTCGGTGGTATAGCGGTTAGCACGCTCGCCGACCATGCATATGGTCCGGGGTTCGATCCCCGGCCACAGACGCACTCCTTTACCTCACCGAGCTAGAAATAATGCTGGTAAAGAGGAAAGGTTGGGCATGCGGCTAGCAACCCCATCCTGTAAAAATTAAACACTGCTACAGAAACTTCAAGCCACTAGCTTGGAGCCCTATGTTCCACTGGGAACGTGAAGGAAAAATTATTATTTATTAAGTTTGTTGTTTGGCATATGACGTAATCCTAGGTCTCAGTACACCGTAGTCTTTAACTGTTCATTATACAGTAATCATCATATATTTCTTTCATAAAGACTTATCACAAAATTCTACTCTTCCATTCCAGTGAGTAGTTACGTCATCCTCCCATCTACCTCATTAAAGTTACGCTAACTAGTCGGGATATAAAATCAATTAACGTTTATTTTTAATTAGGCTAATAAACTCTACAATGGGATTTTCTAAATTGACATGAGGCTGAGGAGAGAAAAAAACACCATACGGTGTTTATATATTTAGCGTTATCATTAGACTGATCCTTATTTTTTCGCCTATCAAAACTATGATATCGTTGAATTTCCCTCTTCTTCCTTGTCGTCGTCTTATTCTTTCTCACTGGTCTTCTTGTTTTTTCTCTCTTTCCACCATCAGGTTAACAATGACACTTGTTTGTCTTCTAATCTTTGCTTGTCTGTGTTATCGAATTATTGACTATTTTAATCGATATGAAGCAATGAAGACATTGTTTGTATATAATACATTTAGTCTGCCTGAAGAATTTACCAATGCAAATAATCATAGTGATGCAATGAAGTCAATCGGGAAGTCGTTTACCGAAGAAAAGAAGCCATCAAATTGGTTTACAATAACACTGTGCAATTTAAATCCTATACGGTAAGTTGAAGGTATATTTTGTGCATTATATTTTCTAATAATGGTAATAATCATAACAGTAATAATAATAGTAACTCTAATTTTCGTGTTTCCCAATGAATGAAAAAGAGCAAAGCGATATTGTCGTTGTTTTCACTGACGTTTCGCTATTTAATGCTGATGCTAAAAGCTTTATCAAAACAGTATTATTAAACCCGAATTTACAAAATCCACTCAGCTCATATATATATATATACATATGTATATATAACAACTTAATCATCGTTCCTCAGCATGGGGTCATTTTTCTTCCTTGTCAAATTGGCCAATTGGTAAAGATAACAAAACCAGGTGGAGATTATTGGATTTGATAAGTGTGTAAAATTACAAAAACAACGTGTGTTTACATGATGAAATTGCTTATCGCATTTGTGTTGATTTTGTCACTTCATCGAAGGAAGGAGGTGTTGTTGCTATGGCTTCACCAGTCTCCCCGATAGTCGCTGATCTTTTCATGAATAAATTCAAAAATAGCATCTTTTCAGGCATACTCCCACCCAAAAATATGATTAAGATATGTAGATGATACTTTTGTAGTGCTAAAACGAGATCTATAAAGTTAATTCTTGGAGAAAATAAACTGTATAACTCCCAGAATCCAGTTTATTTCGGAAGCAGAATCAGACGTCGATGAACTACCATTCGTAGACTGCCTTGCTAAGCGGAGGGTAAGTGAACATTTTAATATGCCTATATTCAGGAAGAAAACCCACCCGAATAAATATTTAGACTTTGGATCATCACACCGAATCAGTGCAGAGGTTTCAGTTGTTTCAAGTCTTCTTAAACAGCCACAGTCTTTGATAACGGATGCGAAGGAGAAAGAAGAAGAAAGATCAAACATTACTGAGACTCTCAAGCAAAACAACTTCTTAGAGAACTTTATCAACAAAATCAACACAGATATTAAGTATGGTCGAAAAGGTACTCCAAAAACATGGACATCAACAGTCGTCATTCCATATAGAGCAGAGACGTCAAACGATATCATAAGAGTACTCAATAAGCTTGACGTCATAGTTTTCTTCAGAACATGAGACACACTTCAAAGCAACCTTGTCCGTATAAAAGACCAAATCCCGAAAGATTCTCTATCTAATTGTGGCTATAAAATAAAATACTTCCTTGGAATGTGATGCGATATACACCGGACAAACATCTCTAGTGAGAAAAATTAAATTAGAAGAAATGAACACCAAGAAATCCAGCTGAACTAGAAAACCTTGAAAAATCACTAGCCATTGGTGATGGTCTACATGCTATAGAATCAAGCCACAAAATTAATTTCGACAATATTGAAGTAATCCAGAAAAAGCATTTCAGAAATCACAGAGAACGTCCCATATCATCAAAATTACTTCATACCAAATAGAATCCAAATAGTCTGAATAGTCTGAATGATGGACTAAAACAGAATTTGACCTGATTACGTCACAACCCCGCTCCCCTATGAAACGACAAAACCAACAAGAATGTGACAAGCAATTTGTGCGTCGGTGGCACAATGGTTAGGGCTCTCGCCCACCATGCACATGGTCTGAGGTTCGATCCCCTGCCGACGCATACCTGATATCTATGGTCGGCCTGCAAAATTTGGGCTACCGATATCCATGCCGAAAATTCCATACTTATACCAAAAATATGGTGTGGAATAAAGCTGCAATAAAAAAAAGTTTCATTACTTAAACACGCACTGCTTTTGTAATTTTGCCCACTTATCAAATCCAACAATCTAGAGTTGGTTTTGTTATCTTTACCGGCGAGAAATGACCCCATACTGAGATACGATGATTAAGTCGCTATATATCAGCTGAGTTGGTTTAGTAAATTCTGGTTTAATAATACTGTTTTGATAAAGCTATTAGTAGCAGCATTAAATAGTGAAATGTCAGTAAAAACAAGGATATCGTTTTGTTTTTCATTCATTGGGAAATACACAAACCTTTATTGTAATGAATAACTCTAATTTGTCTAAAAGATGTCTTCATTAGTGACGGTGGGGTTTTCCAATATGTATGGTCGAAGGCGATGGAAAATTGTCTTCCTGCGTAGTATCGAAAGTCGCATGAAAGCTCATAAAGCAATCAGAAGACACACAGGATTCTAAAAAGCTTATATGGTTACGTGTGTATTTATTACATATTTCTTTGCATTCCGAGTGAGACGCAGGACTTCATGCCTTAAGCTTTAGTGTTTACAATAGCAGCGGAGTCAGTTCTTTTACGGGATAGGGTTGCTAACCTCACGTCCAACCCCTAGCTTTTAGAGGATTACTACCGGCTAAATGACGTTTAGGAGTGTGTCGGTAATGGTTCGAACCCTGGACCACACATGGAGTTGACTACTATCCTACCACTGAACTACTGACAAACGGCTGCATGTAATAAAGCACCTAAAAGAAATGGAACTCTAGTGGCAAATGTTGTTTACTTTCAAATCAATTTTGATTTTCCCGTTGTTTGACTGCACGGAATTGTTCGGCGTGTATTGACACGTCGGCCTTTTGTGCAAATGCTTCAAGGATATCTAAGAATTTAAATAAAAGTAATTTTATGGATGGTGACTAGCAGTGGAATCCAGGAGGCGTATCTAGGACTCGTGTGCCAGGGAATGTGCCTGCATTCTCCAGTGAGTGATGGTGTCCCCTCTGAGGCCGAATGTGTTGCACAAGGTTGGTTCTCATGGTTCAAGTGGTCAAGTGAAAAACGCCTTAGCGTTTAAGGGGGTAGGTACTGGGTTAGAGCGCGAGTGGGTACATCATCATTAACTACGCTTCATCTTGTTTCAAAAATAAAGGTCAGAAAACGTCGAATACAGTCATGATGATTGCTGTCGTCGAAAATACTCATACTCTGCTAGTCTTAATATACTTTCTCCCTTTATAATAGTTTCTGCTTATTATGTAAGTGCATAAATATATGATATATTGAATAACTGAAGCGACCACATAAAAGCCGATGAGCATCGCGATCTATACCACTTTCAATACAGCTTAGTAGTTACATGTACGGAGAGGAACATAGCAGTATTATTGGTCCAAAGTGGACAAATTTCATAGAAAATAGATAAGTTAACCTTTGACATCAGTTAAATTTAGGTGAAAGAATTAATTTTCGTGAAACCATTTTTGGAATTTCGGAATTCAGGTCAAAATCTATTTCGCTGACATAAAGAGAAAACTTTAGTCGAAAAAATACGAACTCGCCTTGTAACCAGAAGGTCCCGATTTCGAACCCCAGTGGGTGCGTACTGATGAACAGTCCCGAACTAGGCTAATGAAACAGTTGTCCAGTACTCCCAGATGGTTTTCCAAAGGTTCTCTAACCAATGCCAACGCATGATGAAATCCTGTGACCAACCAAATCCCCACAAACCAACACTAAAACATCAATGAGATGCTCACTAGCGACTTGCCTTATTCAGGTGGGTATTTACCTGGGGTTCTGGTGAGAAGTCGTGACCAGTAGGGTGCAGCAGGTCGGGTGTGGGGACAATTAATCGGCAAAGATTTTGGCCGTGGGCCGCGCTATATCGTGAATTGGCGGAAGTTAGAATTCATGGGCAAGTGGATCGGGTCCTAGTGGCTTAATGATCTGCGAGCTCGCCTTGTAACCAGAAGGTCCTGGGCTAGGACTCCGGTGGGTGCGTACTGATGAAGAGTCCCAAAGTAGGACGAAACAGCTGTCCAGTACTCCCAGCTGGTTTTCCAATGACTCTCTAATTAATGTCAGCTCATGATGAAATCTTGAAGAACCCTCTATTAATCCGCGGGGAATTCACTTTTCTTTAAACTGAGGAACGTAATGCTGGGTGTCTTCCATGTACACATGCACAACCTGTTCAATATGAAGATTAATTAAGGAAGTTATAGGTTTGAGTTGTAGAATGTAATTACGCACATAGAGATCAGTCCTCGTATTTTTATATATCCTAGATACAACGGCAAAGTGGCTGTTTGGAGATCCAGGATTTATGGTTGGATCTATCAATCTAGTCAGTATTTGACTTTAAATTTAAATTGAGAAAAGGCTTTTTTGTTATCACACTGTAATACATCCCAGGTGAAGTGATATCATAGGATGTACCAGTGGGATGATATAGATTGCTACAAAAAAGTTTAAAGTGAAAACAACATTTTAAGTCAATGGCTGCAGAATTTTCGTTTTGGACAGGAAACAACCTCATTGAACAGACTGTTCAACCTTGGGCTAATTGACAACCAATCAAAGCAGTTTGTTCTTTTCAGAACTAACTGGACCTGAAAGTAGCTGAGAATATATAAATCTGATGTTGTTTACCTTAATAAAGGTCCGTTTCTTATCTTCTTACGTTATATCTAGAATAATTTCAAGCAAATATCACAGAAGAAGGTTAGGTAATAAATTTCATTTCTTCAACTACAGTTGGTTCCATTATACACCTAGTACAATAGGCGTATAATTTGCGTGCATTTATCATCTCTTGAATTAATTCAGCACTAAATTCTTGCAGGAATGTGAACAGTTTAGTTTGAACTGAAAATTATATCACTTAATGCTGTGATTACATGTCAATTAAATAGGAACAAACTAAAACTTCTTGAATGAGAAATATTTTAATGAAGATTGAGTTAACGTCATTAACAAAGTTAAGCCTTAAACACCACTAACTACCAATCAGCGAATGGCCTTAAACGCACCAATCACATGAAGGAGGCATTTTTGAGTAAGGAATACATATATATTATGAAACAAATGCATAAAAAGTGTATAAAACTGTTACATAGAATGCCTTTCTCTGAAAAGCGATAAAAATTCCCCCATTTAGCATAGGAGTATCAATTGAAACGTAACACCATCTAAAAAACTATTAATGACATCCTTCTGAAACATATTAATGGCTCTTACCCTGTTTTTAACCTTCCATAAAAGCCTTCTATACAATTAGAGTGTGTCCCTGTAATAGGATCCACAAAATCATTAGAATGGTTGACTCCGTGGTTTACATATCTAAGGAATGACAGGAAGGTATAACGTTTTCACTCATTGGTGTGTATCGTAGATCCTTGTTTCATAAATCGAGTGATAAAAGGTATTAAGGTAGTTGAATTTCTATCCGCTATCCTATCGATGAATCCCTTCTGTAGAGAGGTATCATATAAGTCAATCACCCAATCATTATTTCCTCGCCCACGTCCGGGGTTGTATTTTTTTCTTTAATAAGACAGTTTCATCCACATGTTCTATGACATCTCCTCCAGATAACCAATTCCCACCATTTTCCAGGATGTGATATCCCCACAGTGCTGGTACCACTGGACTGTTAATACAAGACTATTTTCGGTTTCCACAGTGGTATCGCTCATAGGCTGTTTTAAAACCCAGTAAAAGTACAAATATACAAAATCTGCGTCAACGACAAGCGGTAACTGGCAAAACATTTTTCTACGAAATAATAGAGTCATCGGCTTACCTTCTCAGACACTAGCTTGTCTCAAACAAACTGCACAACGACTGACATATCCATCAACCGACCTGCTGAAGCTTTTTATACTCATCACACCTCCACATGGACAAATCCTTTCTTTCCTAATCAACTCCATATCCAGTCAATACTGGAAAACCTTATCGTCACCAAACTGCAAGTGCAACTAAGTTAGAGCAGGCATTCGACTCAAATCAGGTGGAATGGAACCTTAAACTCACGTAAATGAAACTCATTGAACCATTCAAGGTCAATTGTGTGGTCACATTCCATTTGTAGTTAGTTGCGCTTAAAGTTTAAGTTGACCGCGTCATCCAAGAAGCTTTCTCTTGAAGAAGATAGCGAAGATATATATATATTAACTGTTTTAAGGTATTAAACGAAAAGCGCTCGAGATTCGATAAAGAGGGTCAACTTAGTACACTTCAAGAAAATGCAAGGCATCATTGAGCTATATGCTATCGAAAATCATAATTTACCCAAAAGTGTAATAGAACACTGTGGCATATAGTATGTTCCTTCATGCATTTATCTCCCTTGATGAATTTGAATAAAGCAAGAACAACAGTGGTTTGTAATCAGATGGAAGAATGAAGATTAAGTAATCTTTGTTCTTAGCTCCATCCCTTTAACAAAGTTTAATTTTGCTTGTCTCTTGTTTATATGATTTCAGTTCAACTGAGTACATTGTTACCTAAGTTATTAGTCACTCTGCATCTAACGCATATCCCGTCTTTATTATGTAACTCCCTTGCCATACATACATTCATTTTGTTTACCCTTGAATTGCCTTGTATGAATACTATATAAGCGCAATTTTTTGAGCATTGTTCACTTATTGCGGAACCTTTTATCAACTGACAACATGTAAAATTTGCAAGTATGTTGAATCTTTTCTGTAAGTAAACCTCGTAATTTATTTAGGCTGTAAGCAGATGATAAGAAGCCAACGAAACAAATGATAGAACCATATTATTCTGCTTTATTCATACAGTAGGTATTTTATTGGAAATTTTTTGAGTGTATTACTTTTTTCTGTAGTCGTTTTCTGGAATTAATTCAATATTCTTTCATATTTTCCTCCTCAAATTTCCCTCCTCTTATCGAATAAAACTTTATTCAGTGGTAGCGCATTATTCACTGTAAAGAACGGTTCACAAATCTATGATATGATATCAAAAGATCGTCAAAATGAAATGGACTCTAGTGTCAATATTATAAGACAGACTGGTGGAAATAATAATCGTGTACCAATAGAAATACTCAAACAAACAGGACATAAATTGAGCGAAATGCTGAAATAGTAAGTTTTTAAAAATGTTGGAATTATTTTTAATTGCGTTTAATATTACACATAATTATCTTCCCAGATTACTGTCTAAAATCTTACGAGTTATCTGGATTTATTGCTGAACGACAACCATCAGTTCGGTGAAGAACGTTTTTTCAACGAATTCATTCACTCAACTGTACAATAGCTCTCGTAATAATATTGATATAATTCTCTTTTCCATGTGTGTGTGTGTGTTTGTGCATAGGCTTTGCCAGACAAGACGAAACCCTAGTCTAGGATATTGCTTACGTTATCAAAATATTTCCAGATTGTGATGAGTATTCAAAATGTCAACTTAGTTGGAGGTAGATGGGTGAAGATTAGTAAGTTCAGACTAGCGTTATGTAATGTGAAAATATTCAGAAACATCTTACACTTATTCCCCTCGATAAATTTGAACAAAGCAAGAACTACAGTTTTTGCAGAATAAAATGATACCATCATTGGTTATTTCGTTGCCTTCTCGTCAGCTCAGCTGCTTACAGGCCAAAGTCATTAATAAATACATCTACAAAAACAATTTTAACATACTCTCACAGAGTTCATTTTATACAAAAATCAATCAACCAATATATGCATACAGTAATTATATATATATATTATTAAACACTTTTCCGAACAATAATAATGATACACAATATTTTCAATATTTCTCATTCAGATGAAAGAGGGATGAAAAATATCCAGTTACCAGGGCAAACAAAAACTGATAACCGCTTCTTTCTGGACGCATAAATCAGGTTTCAGGCACATGATGGAAATGGCTTCAGCAAACTTAAGGAGAATTGAACTCTTTTGCCCAATGATAATTTTGAACGACCTTTCGACTTTTTCGAGGAGATGTCTGGCAATGGCACTGTTTAAAGCATTTGTTCCCTTTAGACGTAAACATTTTAGTACATGTTTAGAAAATCGCAGATTTTCCCTTCTTTCTGCCCTTCCAATGTAACAGATACATGTAAATTTGTATATACACTCCCCGTCTATCGAACAACTTGATCTTTGGTGCCATCAAAAGTCGATAGATATCCTTCTCATGTTAACTCCAACTGTATATACAAATTTACATGTATCTGTGGGAGCAGTTACATTGGAACAACAGAAAGAAGGAGGGTATACCTCTGATTTTCTGAACATGTACAAAAACATTTAAGTCTAAAGGGAACAAATGCTTTAAACAGTGCCATTGCCAGACATCTCCTCGAAAAAGTCGAAAGGTCGTTCAAAATTATCATTGGGCAAAAGAGTTCAATTCTCCTTAAGTTTGCTGAAGCCATTTCCATCATGTGCCTGAAACCTGATTTATGCGTCCAGAAAGAAGCGGTTATCAGTTTTTGTTTGCCCTGGTAACTGGATATTTTTCATCCCTCTTTCATCTGAATGAGAAATATTGAAAATATTGTGTATCATTATTATTGTTCGGAAAAGTGTTTAATAATATATATATATATTACTGTATGCATATATTGGTTGATTGATTTTTGTATAAAATGAACTCTGTGAGAGTATGTTAAAATTGTTTTTGTAGATGTATTTATTAATGACTTTGGCCTGTAAGCAGCTGAGCTGACGAGAAGGCAACGAAATAACCAATGATGGTACCACTTATTTCTGCTTAAACTGTACTTATTGCTCTCTTCATATTCAGAAGTAATCGCATGCTAATAAAGGATAAGTATAAAAATAAATTATGTAGTATGTGAAAAGGCCAATTATGATGCACAGAATAGCATTCATTCCAAAATGTTGATCTTAGAATTATATCCACGGTAGAAAGAAGGGATCGAGAAGTTTTATTCTGTATACATAAACAGGGTTTTCTATTCGAATCACCAACGCCTCGGCATTGCATAGTATACGAAAGCTTTACGTTCTCCGCAGGCTTCTGTCAACGATGTAGATAACTTTGAATGAATTCTCTTTATCTATTAAGTGACCAGTGTTGAATATACGAACAATTACAGCACTCCTTATTAATCCACTGTTACCTTATCGTAGCCAAGTAAGATAATGTTCTTTGACCCTTTTAGATAAAACACTCATCGAATGACTTATCTATCCCGCGGTACATGAGCAAGTGACTCGATCGATACACAAAGAAGTGGTTAAGTGTGTGATGGTTTATCTTTGTAGTTGTTGAAGAACACTGAGTGGCAAAAGGATACCAGTTGCAATGTCTCAGGGGAGAATTTGAACAAAGCGAGAAGAACACTGATGGGTTTCGCAAAATAATATGATACCATCACTGGCTTCTCATCATTTGCGTATACAGCCGAAATCAATTATTAATTTTATGTACTGAGAAGTTTTAACATACTTGCAAATTTTGCACAATGTCAGTCGACAGAAGGTTCTACAATTAGTGAACAGTGCTGAGAAAATTGCGCCTAAATACTTTTTTACACAGGCAGTTCAAGTTTAAACAAAAAAGATGTACGCATACAATGGTAAAGGAGTTACGTAATAAAAACGACAGATGCGTTAGATGCAGAGTAACTAGTAAATTATGTAACAATGTACTTAGTTGAACTCAAATCATATAAACAAGAGACAAGAAAAATTGCAGATTATAAAAGGGGGTGAGTTTTAAGACAAAGATTACGTAATCAGATGAGAGAATAAAGACATACAGTTACCAGAGCAGGGAAAGCCTAATAACCGCGTTTTCTGAACACGTAAAGCGTTTGATAGAAATTGTTCCAGAAAAATTGAGATGAGTCGAGCTCCTTTGTCTGTTGATATTAATAAAGGATTTCGCGATTTCCACCTCATCACCTGTATCAAGGAGATGTCTGGTAATAGCGCTATTATGAGAGTTTGTTCCCTTGAGACTATAGGCAAAATATTTTTGAGCACTGTTCACTGAGTGCGGAACCTTCTGTCAAGTGACATCATGTAAAATTTGCAAGTATGTTAAAACTTTTCTGTACATAAACCTCATAATTTATTCAGGCTGTAAGCAGCTGCTGAAAAGGCGACGAAATAAACAGTTATGATACCATATTATTCTGCACAAGCCACCAATGTTGTTCTCGCTTTGTTGAAATTCATCAAACGGAATAAAGGCGTGAAGTCAGAGAAGAATGCACTTTCCAGGTCGCTTGATATTCTTTTCTTTACGATATCCATTAGAATAGCGCTTTTGAATATCCTTTTCATGTATGGTATCTTCCTTGGCATAAAGATAAGGTGTGTTTTGTTGCTTTGGTTCTTTATGTGTTGATCTGTAAAATGCTTTGTTGGGGGGAGCGTAACTTTCCTTGAGCAATGTCTTCCTCGAAAGAGTGATCTCTTCATATATTGATTCAAAGCTGAAGATTTTTTGGATCATAGTTTCAAGAAGTCACATCCGGTCCCGCTTGTAACTGAAAAGGTATCCAACTGTAAAAGTCTGTCAATTGGCTGTCCCACTTGAGTTTTCTATATATTGGTCTGTTCAAAGTTCCGGAAGTCTTCTTTGTTAGTTGAACGTAGAAAAAGGAAACTGTTTGTCCTATTTCTGCCTCAAGTGTAAATTTGATGGCTGAGTGGCAGCTACTAAGAACTTGGAGGACATTACTTATGTCACATTTATTACTAAAATTAGTAAAAGTATCATCAACATCCCCTTTGTAAAGAAGAAAGCTTGCCATGAAAGGACCTACACGTACGGACACTAACAGTGATCCTATAGCCAAATCATCCCTCTCTCTGTAAATAAAATCAGTTTGCCGCTTCGACCAGTGTCGGACATGTGTAATTCTCCATATCACGCAACAGCAAAATGGCTACAGAAGCTCCTATAGCCTCTCCACAATGAAGTGATAAAACAGAGCGTAAATGGCGATTCTGAATTTGTTGCAAAAATAAGATATATTAATGTAAGGGATAAGTTTATGATATCTTCTGATGTAACCTCCTTGTTCACCAATGCACCGTTAATAGAGACAGTAGATTTTATATGTGATGAGATTACTGCGCGAAACATAAACATCAGAATTTCTGTACCCTCCTTGAAGAGACTTATTTTAGGATGCACAGTGAATCTTCATTTCTTATTCAACAAGGAATATTACAGACAAACTGATGGTGTAGCTATGGGTTCCCCAGTAGGTCCAATCCTAGCTGATATTTTCCTCGCTCAGTTAGAGAATCGACCACTGAAAGGAGTAATTAATGATTTGGATTTCTACTGTCGATATATGGATGATATATTTCTGGTTATGAAAAATCGAGAATGATGCAATGAGCATCCTTGACAAGTCTAATGGTGCACATTCAGCAATACACTTTACCATAGAGAAAAAAAGTAATGACAGTATCTCATTCCTAGACGTCTCCATGTCAAGGAACGAAGATAGCACGCTAAGGAGGAGTGTGTATAGGAAACCTACAGCAACAGGTCAGGACACTCGTTTTTCCAGTTTCGTATCTTCGAAATATAAGCGTAACTTGGTAAAATGTCTGATTCGTAGATCAAGGTTAGTCTGCTCAGACGACTGCCTAAATGAGGAGCTTAGGATTTTTAGAGAATCACTTAGAAAAACTGGTTATCCAGATAAGTTCATTGAGAATATGAATCCACCACCTAGGAGAGTCAATATGGCCGCGGTTCCGAAAAGGAGCACCGCGCGTTAAACTATAGTTCCTCGGTGATAACATCAGCGAAATAATAACACAGCGCCTGAAGAATGCATTTAAAAGAACTTATTATGCAATAGAGGTACGTTGTCTCTTCACTACCACACCTATTCTACATTCGAGAAATAAGGATAAACCACCTAAATTCCCCTCTTCTATGTGTATCTACCAGTTTGACTGAAGCTGCGGAGCCAGCTATATCGGGCGTACAATTAGGCTCGTTCATCATCGTATTTCCGAACATCATCCAACATGGTTGAGCAAGGTGTTAGGAAGAGGCAAAACATATGCAATTATCAGGTCATTATCATGTCTCAGTCAGGTTATTATCGCGTTATTTACAAGTCGTT